CATTGAATGGTCCGAGTAGTTGCTTGAAGTCGCCTCAGGCAATAACGAAACATGTCACCCAAAAAAACACAGCTAGTGGTTTGTGACCAAAAAAAGAACAGCACGATAAAAAATAATCCACAAAATTCTGCACAAAAACACCAAATTTAAGTTAATAACAAACTGAGCAAACAAATAAAAGGGCCAGCCACAATATCAGTGAATCATCGGGCAGTTTTTGCAACATCCATGTCAACCAGTGCATCTCAGCTGTTCATGATAGAATCACGCAGGGATTCCGAGACACACCATCCGCGAGTTCGATCCCAGCTCATTCGTATACAGCGTTCACCCCAAGCGCATTCATTCTGCAATTTACCGCACTGAGAAGCAGTTTTGATAAAACAATTTTACCACAGTTTATGCTGGAATGAGGTACCAGCCTTCCTCTTGCATCGTCGTCAAAAAAAGGATAGAAAGATTTTTCCTTATTTATAAAATTGTGTGGAAGAGAGAAGCCCAAAACAGAAAAGAATGGAGATACCGCCAGCTGCACTGGTGGTAATATAACCTACTGCTAGTGGTGATCAGAGTAAATGCAAATAATAGCAATTTTGGGAACAAAACAGGAATTATGTGCAGGCGGCCCACTTCAAACTTTCCAGAAAAGAACGAGAAATAGTATGGACTTCGCTATAAGCTAGGAACACTGCTCCCAAATTTATTATCAAGGCAAAATAGCGAATCATGCGAAGCTGAATGCTGCTGCACCGAATTCAGGTTTTTAGCTGCTGCACCGAATTCAGACTCAATCACTGATTTAAAGATTGTGCCGGGACCCAGTGAGCTGATTCAGTGGTTACGTCAAATCGACACAGCTTACATTTTGGCAACGGGTTTTGTTATTTGGCTAATAATGGTGAGAATTTTTCGCACTGAAGCGTGTTGGATTGCTCTGTTTTCAATGCTTTTATGAAATAACGTAATTTCCACGTATTACTGCGCTACTGGTGCACCAGAAAGGCATTAAAGCGAGATCGTGTCGACGTTTGAAAGTATGTGCTTGTGCTCATTTTCGTATGATAAAATTTGTTATGCGTTTTTTGCAGCTATGCAATGCGAAAAACGCATATTGACGAGAGGTTGTCTGCGTGTGTGTGTTTGGTGTGTGTCTGTGTGTGCGTTGTGCGTCTCTACCGATTTTTCATCTTGAGACCCACAAAAGCTACAGGGCTGAAACTTTGGGGACTTAATCTACATGCACGTACGAGCCCCCCTCTCCAAAATTGGCGGTCTTTCCAGGGTGATACCCGTGTAAGAGCCCGCCAAAGTTTTTTACGAGTAAGTTGCTAAATCACGAATCAGAAAAGCTAGAGAGCTGAAATTTTAAGGGAATGTTCCCCGCTCAAGTAGGTACTAATGAGCTCAAACCCAATCCCCGGGTAAATGCGGTACTCGCGTACGGGCCCGCCAAAATTTTCCCCAGGTGAGTTTATAACTCAGGGATCTGAGATGCTAGAAGACTGTAATGTTAAAAGGATGTTCCCCGTCCACATTAGTCTGAACGAGCTCAAACCCAGCCCTCGGTTACGCGTGGTACCTACGCACGAGTTCACCAAAGTTCTTCTTGGGTAAGTTCATAACCCGAGAACCTAAAAAGCTAAGAGACTGTAGTTTTAGGAAGATGTTCCCCGTGAAAGTAAGTCACAACGAGCTCAAACCCAGACACCGGGTATGCATGATGCGGGCATGTGAAAAATTTCTTCCAGTAAGTTGCTAACCCGAGAGCCAGGAAAGCTAGAAAACTGAAATTTTAAGGGGTGTTTCCTGCCAGTTTTGGCGGCCAGTCTTAATATGTTTAGCTAGAAGAACCAGGCGAAAAAACCGATGCCGGTAGCGATAAGAACTGCGGGGAACTATGCAAAAACCGCATCATCGCACGGGCAGCCCGTGCGTTGGCCAATTATTTCAGAATTACGATGACGAAGATATTGAAAGGTTCGGAGCAAACTATTTGACCACGCGAAGCTATAAACCTTTCCTCATCATCTACTGTTTTAAAGAAGATTCTGCACGAGGTGAGAACTGAAATATTCACAAGCATGAGTTTATTGCCTACAGGGCTAAAAACTGAAATCTTTCATCAATCTGCTAACGGCTTCTTGGTCTGTATCAAGATTTAGGCGATAGTTCGAGGAATGAGACTTGAGAGAAGAAAATAATTAGTTCCAGTGAACGATCCAGCCACTAACCTTAATGGCATCCGGGTTGCATGCATTTAGTATTAGTTGATCCTTTCTCTTCACCATCAAATCATGTTGCTGGTGTTGTTGTTGTTGCTGTTGTTGTTGTTGTCGTTGTTGTTGCTGCTGCTGTTGTAATTGTGGATGGAGAGGGCCAGTAAATGGAGCAGACTGGAAATGACCTGAAACAGAAGCTCTACTACTCTTAGTCCAAGTGTCTTAACCGGTGGTTTTCTTTTGCCTTGCTTCTGACTCATCCAATTGCTGTTTCGTTTTTCTGCCTCTACTTCGACACTTAGAAACCAGAAAAAATGGATTTGGTGCAAAAACAACTTTGAAGTTATGTTATTTTTTCGAACAGTTCACTTTGAAGATTCTTCAAAAAACGCGAATTTTACCTTATTAATTTTACCAACGAAATCCAAAAAATGGTAAAAAACATGGATGAAACTTTAAGGATCATCTCATATCACTGCTCTCCCACTTTTTTTTCTTGGCCTTCCAGAAATATTACAAAATTTGAATTTGGCAACAACACCAATACAGGCATAGGCGAGTAATGCTAGCG